TTATCAATCAAAACATGTTTTTTAATAGACATGAATAAGGGCCGGGACTTTTTTAAACGTGGGTCCGGACCTTCTAAGTCCCGTTTCCAGTGAGAAAAAAAAGCCCAACCTTTTTTTAGTCCTATGTCGAGCTTTGGGGTTGAAGAAGGATCCGGTTGGGATTTTTCAAGTCGGGGTTTTTGTTGTTGATATTTTTAAGTTTAAGCGGACTTTTTGGGACAAGCTTTATACTGAGCAGGTTTGCCCCCTAAATTTTGGCATGATTAAGCTTTGAGGATTGGCTTAGATCGGGTTCCAAACATACTAACCCTAGGTTTTTCAAGTCGGCCTCAGACGTCAAATCAAAATTGAAATTCTTTTTAGAATTTCTACAACTTTTGTATCTTTTAAGACCATGAGAAAGTGATTTAATAATTTCTACTTTATGCTATGAAGTTGTACAATAACAAAGGCCGGATGCTCGTCAAGGCAAACCTCATGGCCTGATTCTTAAAAATATACTTTTATTTATGTTTGTCTTAAAATAATTGTTCAGTTTCAAAAATAGATAACTAAATCTATCCATCCTTAGTTAATATACAAATATTTAGGAGTTGTAGGAAAAAGATAAATTAGTTAAATATTCAAAAAGTGTAATAATTATGCATGTCTAGAAATTTATATCATTTCAAGTATGGATCGTGAGATACTTTTTGATTGTTTCTTTATTACTTAAAATCTCGTTTTTTGTTTTTTGTTACTTTATATTTTATAAAATTTATTTCGGGTTTGTTTTAGAAATTTATTTATATTTAATTATTTAAGAACCATATTACTTTAACTTTTGTAATTAAAATTTAAAAATATGATTTTCAATAATTTTAACACAATATAAGAAAAATGATACACGCATAGTTTTTTAAGTTAAAAATTAAAAGACCCACCCTTGCTAAAATTGAGCTTCATCTTTGATTTATGACCCGACTCCTTAAAATGAAGCCTGACCTCAGTTAAACCGAATTTTCTTCGCCTTTAATTTTTATGCTTACAAATTTATTTTTATTTTTTTTCAATTATTATAAAGTTTTCACAACTATCTTTTCAAGTCTTTTTGTAATTAAAAACTAATAAATGATTTTAGTAATGCATAAATAACTATCGGAAATCAAACCCCAAGAGGACAATTGCAACTAGGACTAGTCATTAATAAGTTGTTTCAATTGTTTACGATAGACTTTAATTCTGATATCATGTGAGAATATATTAAACCAGTTAGATTACTCTCTAAGAGAGTATTTAAGGAAATAAGAAAGATTCCAACATATATAAAAAATATATGATCCACATCTAACCGATGTAGCCTCTAGCAGGTATCTCAGTTGACAAATGGGTGATGTGTCTTTACTTAAATACAAGACAAGTCATAGGTTCCATCTTGGGCCTTCTCACTAGCCTCGGCCGCTAAGTAAGTCAAAAATGTCCACTCACATTAGTATCCTTGCAGGAGAGAAGTAAAGATTGTAAATACCGGTACCGTACTTCAAGTAGGTGATAGGCATTGCTTGTAGGCTTTCGTGTGAGACCAGCTAATAGCGTCGATAATCAACTTTTTATCCGAATCTAACCCTTGCAAAACTCTAACAACATCGGTTAAAACCGAAACTTATGCACCTCTAATTTTGTTAGGAAAAGGCAACAAAGATCTTTTTGCCATTCGTAGAAGTGAAATTACAGTATTGTCCTGAGATGCACCTATCACTTTCTGCCACCTTCAATGGCAAAACCAAAAAGTGGACCTTTTTGCCCTTTGTTACCCAACCTTTGGGTTTGGGTGTACCAACTTTCCATGCATCCAGCCATGGGACCAACTATATTACGTGCCAACTATTGGTGTGGTGTTGTTATTAAATCTTGTTAATATTAAATAAAAAAGTTTAACTACAAAAGTAAGAACTATGGTTATTGAAGATAAATGTAACATTATTTAATTATTTTTTTGTCTAATCCTAGATGTCTGGATCAGTTTATATACACATTGACTTATCTCAGGGGTCCTGAAGAATAGTAAGGAAAATTCCTAGTGGTCTTGTATGATTCGAACTAATAACCTCTAAGAAGAATCTATAGGTCTCAAGTCTTATTATCTGTTGAGCTAACATCACAAGGTTTTATTTAATTATCTTTGATTTTTCTATTAAATGATGTTTTACTTGGATTTATCAAATAATAATAATAATTTAGAAGATACGCATCCATACACCTAGGGGTGTTAAAAAAGTCGAGTTTTTAAAGAACCACTCGAGCTCGAGCTTGTTTATCTCAAGCTTGAACTTAATTATTATTGACCTCAAAGCAATCTTGAACGCACACTAAAATTTGTTTAACTTAACGATTTTTTTGGCTATGCCAGCACTAACAAATAACATGACTCCATCAAACATAAAAGTGATAAACTCATGAAAGTCATGTGTCGATCTTGTTTGTGCTGTACCTGGACGCAATACAATATATAAAGGTAAGTTCAAACAAGAGTATCATTATTTTAAAAATGTAAAAACATTCATATCACATGTGATATTAAATCAGATATATGGATGATTTTTGCCGCAATCTAGCCATATTGCACACATACCACCAAGTCCTCCCATGTATTATTACATACGGAAAAGTTCAAAAAAAACCAACGGACTTTACTGTTTGGAACGATTAAGTCTTTGGACAATTTTTTGGAACAAATAAACCCTTGGACTTTACAAAACCTGTTAAATAAGTCCTTGGACTTTACAAAACCTGTTAAATAAGTCCTTGGACTTTCTAAAATATGTTAAATACATTTTGTTAGTAAAAAAGGTACAAAAAAACAATGGATTTTCATATTTTGAACGATCAAGTTCATAAATATTTTTTGAACGAAAAAAGTACTTACATTAAAAAAAAACAAATATAACATTCTCATTACTATTCGTAAAATATACAAAAGTTGTATCCAAAACATAATAATCTGCATACAAATTTTGGACATAATTTTACCAAAAGTTAAACCAAAATATATACTAAAAGTTGAATCAAAGTATGTAACAAAAGTTGAACCAAAGTATGTAACAAAAGTTGCGCAAAGAAAATACTAACAATTGCGCCAAATATACCAAAAGTTGCGCCAAAAAATACCAACAATTGCGCCAAATATACCAAACGTTACGCCAAAATATACCAAAAGTTGCGCTAAAATATACCAAAGTAATGCCTAATCTATGTCAAGGTCATGGTATGAACTATTCTTCATTTGCATTATTAAATTCTGGTGGAGATATAGCCATTTGACTTTTTTGTAAACCTTCTTGATGTCTAACAACATCACCACTTTCATGATGTTCTTCATCACCAACAGTAGTATCATCTTCATCACGGTCTTCATCGTTAACAACAGCCTCTCTTGAAATTGAATACGGTATGATGCCTTCGGGCCATGCTGGTTGTGGCACACCTGAAGATGTCTTTAATGATAAAAATAAAGTGTAAGCAATAGTCATAAAAAATGTTTCCCATATTTGAAATAAAGTGTAAGCAACAAGTCCCATAGGAAAATCCAGCAGATACATTATATCCTTCCCTTTCAACTTGAAGCATGGTTTCAAGTTTCCCATATTTAAAAGTTATTTTGTCTCTCCTATCACTCGAGCAACAATGAATTATGTTATAAATATGTGCTTATTTTTGGAGATTGATGATATGAGTAAGGCTTTAATAAAATGAATTGACAATGGGAGAGCATTAGAAGTTATGAAAGGAATTATTTACTTCAAAGATTAGAAGATATTCAATCACTTGTAGGGAACACCTACATATTTTTCATTTGTTCTTTATACAAACTATCAACCACTTTCAAGAATAAATTATCCTGGAATTCAAATCCCCCCAAACCATACCATCAAACCAAGCACCTCCTTATAATTCTCTAGTAAATTACATACATGGAAATGTCAGTGGCATTAGATAGTCACACAAGTTAATTAGCAGCACAATTAAGCAAGTATGCATAAATCTAGGCTACTGTTACCTAATGTGTGGTATGATTTGGTTAGTAGCACACATACATATCTTGACTCTAATGTTTTTTAGATGCAAAACTGGTAGAAGAAAATCTTGTTATTAGATAGAAAGGGAGTGGGAAAATCTCAAATAGGATGCAAAAAACAATCAATTAAAGGTAATACCATCAGGTAGTAGTTATCATGAATGGCTAAGGAGCAACGAAACCAAACTAGTCACAATAGATTGAATAACTTGCATTGTGGAACCAATGACACCAATGAAACCAAAATTATCACAGCAGAGACATGAAACCTATGAGACCAAAAATAATCATATGAAGAAGAGAGATGAAAGCAAAAATAATCACAATAGATTGGATTTTGAAAGTCGAGAGATCTTACCTGTTGAATCGATGGTAGGTTTGAAATCAGAGGTCATCGCTAGGTTTCTGACAGGATTGCAACGGTGCGATTCTAACAGATGGTACGGCGACAGGGGCAAACCTGATTAGCGAGCGACAGGGGCGGCGACGAGCGGAGGTGGTGCGGCGACGATCTGGTACGGCGGCGACGAGCGGAGGTGGAGGGAGCGATGGAGATGACGGTGTGCGAGAGGGAGAAGGAGACGGGAGGGGAGGGAGCGATGGAGCGAGAGGGAGAATGATTTTTTAATTTTTTTTAATCTAACAAGTTACCTTCTCTTCAAGTTATAGGTTACCATTTCAAGGAATGAGGACTTATTTAATAGGTTTTGTAAAATCTAAGGATTTATTTAACAGATTTTAGAAAGTCCAAGGGTTTATTTGTTCTAAAAAATTGTCCAAAGACTTAATCGTTCCAAACATTAAAATCCGTTGGGTTTTTTTGAACTTTTCCCTATTACATACGATGCGGACGTTCTATTGTTTTTATAAAATGACGAAAGTAACCCAACCCGAAGTGTGTGAAATAATTAACATTTAAAAAAAGATGGATAGATATTTGTATCATGTGTTTGAATATAATAATCAAATACACCATTTTCTACCCCACCACTTTTCAAAAAACCAATCGAAAAAGTTTCACTTTCATCCAAATATTTATTCATTGCAAGACTTTTGCAATCTGCAAGCAAACAAAGTCCGGCCAGCCTTCTTACACTGCTGAAACCACCATTCTTCGCCGTCGGCCGTCTCCTTTCACCGGAAAACAGAATTATGGAGGATCCTGGTATCAAATTGTTCGGAAAGAAGATTGTGCTGCCGGAAATCAATAAGAGCATTAATCTCCCAGTCATGTTCACGGCCGGTGGTGCTGACAAAGACGGCGGTTATGATCACACTCGTGGTTTATTGAAGGATTCATTGGAAGGGAAGAGAGTAAACAGAGAAGGTGTAGAGAAGGTATATACAGTTTCATCAATTATGCAGATAATTCATGGACAAACACTGTTTACACCACATGTATGTGTTTATATTTCATCTTTTTGGAAGCAACCCAATTGATCCAATGGTCAAAGGATTAACGGGTTAGTTTTAATTTTTCATTTCATTAATGTTTCCCTTGTTATTGATTAGGATTCGAATCAGGTTGAACATGAGGTTCTAATTTAATCTAGGTTTGAACATGGTCAAACTTGATGCTTTTTTTGTTTTCAGTTGTGAGATATCTTATAAAAATTATTCTAGTAATTCAATTTGTTTCTCAATTACGATCGATGTCCATAGAATTTGACTGCAGTTTTTGGTTGAATGGAAATGCTCTGTTTTTAGAATAATGAGCCAACCATATTCTTCCTATTATTTCAGGATCACATGGTGGAATCGGAGAACCCTAAAACTCCGTCTATTGAAGAAGAAACTAGAACGCAAAAATCCGAATCAAATCCGCAAACTAAAACCCTTAAAAAACCCGACAAGATTCTCGCCTGCCCTCGTTGTACTAGCATGGATACCAAGTTTTGTTACTACAACAATTACAATGTGAACCAGCCGCGACATTTTTGCAAGAGTTGCCAGAGGTACTGGACAGCCGGAGGCGCCATGAGGAACATGCCGGTCGGAGCAGGTCGCCGGAAAAACAAGAATCCGGCATCTCATTGTCGTTTCATAACCATCCCCCAAGAAACTCATTGTGTTTCAGGTGGATCAACTGTTACAACTTCTGATTCAACACCTGAAAACTTTCAAGATCAAAACAGATTCCATTCCCATGTCCATTCCATTCCTGGGGTTTCTTGGTCTTACAATCCCTGGAATTCAAGAATCCCAATTCCGGCCATTTGTCCTCCAATGCCGATCTACCCTTCAACCAACTGGAATTGTATTCCTTTCTTACCTCCATGTGATCCAATCTTGGGAAAACATTCATTAGACTCTGATGATTGTGATCAGGATCTAAAGAAACCTAAGAACTCGGTTCTGATTCCCAAGACTCTCAGAATCGACGACCCTGATGAAGCTGCCAAAAGTTCCATATGGGCAACACTCGGAATCAAAAACGAAAACTTTAAGGCCTTTGAAGAAAAGGGCGAAGAAAGAAAGAAGCGTCCAGCCACCATAACCTCTCCAGTTCTATACGCAAACCCCGCTGCTTTCTCTAGATCACTTTGCTTTCAAGAAATGGCCTAAAGTCGTTAACTTTCCATATTTGATTTTATGATAATACGTCGAACTCCATTAGATCAATGTTCAAAAATGGTTCAAGTCCAGCCAATGTGAGATTCCGCCACCTCGAAGTCTAGATGGAAGTAGATTGCTTTAAAGTGGTAAATCTGATTCTGATATCATGTGAGAATATGCAGAACCCCATTAAATAATCCTGTAAAAAGCAAGAAAAGTAGAGAGATTCCAACATATACTGAGAAGAAATGATCTAAGTCTAGCTGATATGGGATTCAGTCCATTCCTTTGAGAGTTCAGTGTAGCTTAATGTTCCGTTTTCTTTTGCACAAAAAGGCAAAAGATGGGTGCTTTGTTTTGTTGTACCTAGCGTTCGAGCTTTAGTGTAAATACATTGTATAGTTTAGATTTTCCGATTATAAACAATGGGACTTCTTCAAAAGGATATATGCATCAATTAGTTGTACTTTTCACATGCCTGCAAATCAGGTAACTCAACTAGATTCATCATGAATTAAGGATGTTTCAAGAAAAACGTTAGCATGTAAGAAAGAGATTTTCAAGGTTGACCAAAACGAATTAAAGGGAACACCGGATGTAATGTTTAAACAAAGTTGACAGTTGCTATATAAAAAGTTATGTAACAGAAACAATTGATAGTAGTCAAATAAATATCGGTGAAATATTTGATGATCGCATGATCTACATAGATAGTTAGATAAATAATGCACATACCACCTAACCTTAGGCACACTTGCATGTGTTAAACTCACATCGTGGCAAACCTTAGGTCTATGGCACAATATAATTAAAAAAGTAAATTTTTTTCTGCTTTTTTTTTTGAAGTATGTAATATTTTTATACAACACATGGATCTCACATACATTACCAACATTGATAAAGTTGGAATCCTTGACTTTTTAGGAAACTGAAATTATTGATTTTTTTTATCCCAAACTATTCTCATGACAAATTGTGATAGTAGATGAGATGAAGCTACATGTAGCTGGTTTTTATCATCCCCTTGTCGTACATAACATGAGGCGTTTGAGTATAGTACAACCCAATGATGCACATGAATCTTGTTCTTTAGCAATCACATAAACCACAGAATTAAAAAGCGTTTTATAGAAAAATACACAGTTATTTGTAAGTGTGTGGATTGGTGGGCACATCAAAATCAAAATCAAAATCAAAAAAAAGCAAGAAGATGAAGATATAAAAAACCGTAAGCGAATTGAAGCCACATTCTCTCTACAAAATGAGTTGTTATGTGGACCTAAACTCCCATATCTCTATCTCTCGCCTTTTTGCTTTCTTGGATTTACTTTTTAGCACACCATGCAGAATTTAAAGCTCATTTTCTTTGGGTTTGGTAGCATGAATTAGAAGAGTAAAAAATATATATTGTTCTACCAAAATAAATGGAACAAAAATCAAAGAAATTGAACAAGAGTGGTAAATTACTAAACTAACCATTATATGCCTACCCCACATTGTGTTTCACTTCAAGTTGAGCATGGATTCAGACCACATGTTAACGAAAATATCTGGATAGCCTAATTTCTTTGGATTTTCAAAAAGAAAGGAAAATACCCAACTGATTTTAGAGTATCATGTGGTCATGCCCAAATGGAAAGCAAGTCGATGGTTGTTTATAAGGGTTGGAATCAAGTAACATAAATTACATGTCATTGGTTAGGAATAAAAAGATATGATTCTGAAAAGTTAAAATAAAGAGTCGTATAATTTAATATTATTTGTTTTGTTTTTAAAAGTGAAGAGAGAGTTTTGATAAAGATGTTTATGTTTAGTGCTTCTTAGCTCTTGAATTGAAGTGGAGGTGATGAGGAAACCATCATACCAAAAAGAAAAGAAGAAAGACTACAAGGTATTGTTGTTGCATTTGGAAAATAAATAGAGTGAGAGGTTTTAGATTAAATAAAGAGTAAAGTTTTATCTCAAAATTTTAATGCTTTTCTCAAATCTCAACGTTTTTGTCCATTAAGTTTAGTTAAAAGGAGCGTATTTTTACTATTTTATATTTAAATTAAAAAACATATTATCTTTTTTTCTTTTTTAAACTTGAGTGTAAAAAAAGAAAAAGAAAAAGAAGGTTTTTTTTACAATTTAAAATTAAAAATATAATACGCTTTTTTTAATATAGTAAAAATTGTGAAATTGATTAAAGTACCCTCATTTACTAGTACTTATATCAAAAAGTTAACCCAAAAAAAAAAAAAAAAACTCTACATGACAAATTGTAAGATTTAGTTCAATATATATAATTAATAAAGTATTTGGATATTAGTATATTGCTTGAAATACCTTCTATTATAACATAAAAAGGAAATTTTATGGATCAAAATTGACACCAAAATGTAATCATAAAAATGTATGTAAGAACTTTGAAAATCGCTTGAAACATGCAACCACGATAATTGCAATGTCTCACTTTGGATTCAAAAGGAACTCAAGTTTTTGGTGTGATTGCCCGAGAATTGAGACAGTCGATCTATCCTATTGATAGATGTGTGGGTGCAATTCACATGAGTTGGGTTATGTGTTTGAGCCTATGCATTTTTTCCTCTGCCAATGGGATGCATTCCCTTATCTATCTTCTCAATAATGACCGTGAAACTGGTGCAGTAGGAACGCCTCAAAGGTTTTTCTCACTCCACATGGTCTTTTCAAGATGGGTGACAGACCAAAAATGTGAATTTTAGGTTTGGTGAAAACAGGTTGGTGGTTTCGCCATCACTTTTTGGAAAATACAATCAAGAAGACAATGTAATTGTGTTGAATAAAAGTGATTTCAACTATTGTAAATAACTGAGTACATTTTAGAAGACTTCTAAACTATTTGGCATGTTTCTTTTTAGGTAACCTTCTAATTAAACAACTGTTATATATTATATATACGAGTTAGCTTTAAGATAACCTTCAATAGTAGTAAAACCAAAAAACGTTGTGGACTGAAATGTTAAGAAATCTCAAAAAACCAGTAAGGATATGGCTAAGACGCATAAACAATACCATATGGCAAAGAGAATGTAAATAAAAGAAGAAAAAACAAGAACACTCAATGATATGGTGGTTTAGGGTTCGACAAGATTTCACCTACGTCCATGGCCACATACATGGATCAATCTTATTGATTCAAATTGAAGTTAGGTTTTTTAAACTACGAAGATATATAAAACGAAGAATGGGCCATAAAACATATTTTACTTTCAACGACAACCATAAAAAAAATATATTGTGGCTTCATACTCTTACATGTATTGCAACTTCACGAGTCAGGATTGTCAGGAAACATCTAAGTCATAACTCAACATGAAATTAATAGCAAAGTGCAACCAATAACCATGAGAATCTCATAAGGGCTATAATGTATCATTTAATAAATTAAGTTATTTGACTACTATTAAAATGATTAAAAAACACTATTTATTTACGATTAAACGAACAATCTTATGAAAACACAATCAATAGGGGCTTACAACAAAAGATTCAAACTTTTAGCAAGAAAATGATTGTGACATGGAGATCAAAGATTTGAATGTGTTGGTTGCGACTTTGAAGCCATCACTTCTTCACAAAACTAAAATAAGATTTGATTATATAAATTTAATGATGTATCTGTGTGATACAGTGAAATGTAAAATTTTATTTTGAACAAAGAACGGAGAGTTAATGTAATTTTCTTATTAAAAAAAATCTGAAATTTATGTTTTAACAAATACAATCATCTATATTCGGACACATCTATACTATCATCAGTCATAAATGACTCAATATTTTAATTTGTGTTCATTATTTTTTAGTACACAAATCCAAAATCCAACATATAAAAAATTATTGCAATCATGCAAACTAAAACACTCTCAATTTTCACACTGTAAATATATATATATATAACTCATATATATTTATAGACTTTATAACAAAAGAGAAAAGGAAATAATCAAATAATTGAAAGGACATTTGATTATGATGCTTTAAAACATGAGTTATTGCACCCATTTTATAAGCATGCAACTCACTTCATTTAACATGATGGATTAATGATTTTTGTTCAAAGGTCCTTGAAGTCGTTTGATATGTTCTTAGCTGAATTTCACCGTTTCGAAATGTTTATATGTTTTGTTTAAATTTTTGGTTTATTTTTGTTGATGTGCTTTGTATTGTATTTTCTAATATCCAAAACATTCCTCAAAACTTAACTCAAAAAATGTATTTCATGTTTTTGTTTTGGGTAACATGCCATAATTCTTTTGTATTTACTTGGTGAATGTTGTATTTTCGAAATTCAAACCTATATTTACACGTCAGAAAGTTGAAACCCACCAAAAGTCAATTATGCCTTTAAAGTCAAAACCTAAAGATATAAAAGTCAAAGTGCACCACCAAGAAAGCAAAAGTTGTGATGTGTTGGATTACCATATGAACATGTTGTCCTATCACACTTTACAATGGTACTTGGAACATTCATAAAAGTGGTACCATTATTACCCTCTGTTAAAAAAAACCAAATTTGGAACTAAAAAGAGTAAAAACACACACACACACACGAATATTTTTTTAAATTTAAAATGAAAGAGTTGACTTTGAAGGTCATTAAGTTTTATTATATTTTTGGATAAAAGAGAGTGTTAAAACCATCGTTTCCTCTTTATTACTGATATAAAAATTTCAATATATGGCTCTAAAATTATGAAAAATGGCTTCTTATTTGTTATTCAGTTATGCATCTGTAGCTGAAATGGAACAACACTGAATACAATTTTTTTGTATGTAGAAATTGGGATTATAACTGATGGCATACTTCGATTTCTAATTGTTGGATGTTACGTCCTTCAGAATCTTATCATTTGTGAACGTTGTCATAATGCATAAATTAGTCTGCAAGTTATGAATTCATTTCTCACAATAACCTTTAGGGGGTGTTTGGTTCATATAATGGAATTTGATGGAACTGAAATCCATCAAAGAAATTTGACTTTAAAGGAATTGGAATTAAATTTGATGGAATTTGACCACGCGTTTGGTTGGTAGAAATTGGAATGAATTCTCTCAAAAGAATTGGAACAATCATCATTGTTTGGACTATCGCACCCATCACCCCGCCCACACCCTACCAACCACCATGTCACTATTGTTGTCGTCACCCCTATCCAAACCGCGCCCCACCCCTATCCCGACCCTGCCCCAACACTCTTGCCCCACCTACTCCATATGTGGGGGTTGTTGGGGGCAAGCAGGGTGGGCGAGGCGGGGCTAGAATAGGGCAATGGGTGGTAGTTGTGACGACTACAGTGGTAGGATGGTGGTTAGTAGTGGGTTGGAGTAGAGTAGGGTAGGGTAGGGTGGGGCGGGACAGTATGGTGGGTAGGGATAGGTGGAGCGATGGTAGTTGTGAT